AGTATTGAAAAAGAGACGGACCTTGCTACCTAGCCTTTCTCGGTCTGGAAGAGGCATTTGACTGTCTTCCGCGATAATCCTTTGGTGCCCTGGAAACAAATGTTCCAGAACACAAGATCTCTACGGTCAAGGACATGTGCGATGACAACAACACACACTCCACACGGTCTTACCGAAGAAATAGACGTCACGGCTGGGGTACACCTAAGGTCAGCTTTGTGCCCGTTCCTCTTCCTCTTTACAATGGACGTCATCACAAAAGAACTCATGGATGGCTCACTGAAGACCATCCGCTGATGACATCGCTCTGATAGCGGAGAGCAAAGAAGAACTATAGGATGTACTGCAGAAGTGACAAAAGGTGTTGGCGGAGAACGGTCTGCGACTGAAAGTGAAGAAGACCAAGTTTTTCAGCTTCTTCAGCTCCGAGGAGTGCACGGAGTCAATCGTAGATGGTCTCGAGGAAGCCATCGAAAAGCTTCAAAATTCCCGAGACTTGCGGAGTCATCTAGCCGCAGATGGTAACGTGGACCTTACCTAAAAATATAAATGAATATGCGGGTGGAGGGGGTTCACTGGTGTCTTCTGTGGCCGTCGGTGATCCAAGACGCTCAAAGGAAAGGATATCGGAGAGTGGGAAGGCCTACGATGCTCTATGGTAGCGAGTGTTGGCCCGTAAATAAAAACCATGAAAGAGAGCTCCACTCCCATGAAATGAGAATGCTAAGACGGGCCTGTGGCTGGACACGGCTAGATGGGATCAGATATGAAGGCGAAGGGCGGCTATGCAAACAGTCCCTGTCCAGCTGAAGATGACAGACCAGCGTCTGTGGTGGTTGGAGCATGTACTGAAAAGACCACAAAATCATCCGATAAGGGAGGTGGTGGCTCGAGGCTCAAAGTGAGCGACCACAAGGGGCCCCAAAGAAGAGGTGGCGGAACGTGGCCAGGACCAAGGTCACGGCAGAAGATGCCATAGATAGAAAGTAGTGGAGACGAGTGACAAGAACAGCGGATCCCAAGGGCGCGGAATTAACGCTAGGGAGAAGAAAAGAAACAAGAAGTTAGGGAAA